TTGAACTGTGGGGTCCTTGGTGCTCTCTGAGCCTGATGGTTTTCTGGCTGATTTTTCATGACCCAACTAGGTAACATAATCAGTGGTCCTTCCTACCTTCCTTCCTTCCTTCCTTCCTTCCTTCCTTCCTTCCTTCCTTCCTTCCTTCCTTCCTTCCTTCTTTCTCCTTGTGTAATAAAATGTCTGTAAAGAAAACAGCCAAGCTCAAAGAGCACCAAAGACCCCAGACTCCTCCTCCTCTTCCTCCACTCCACAAACCCTACTTCCTTTCTGTCCCTGATGATGTAACCTAGTTGGGTAACAAAACGTCTTCAAGGAAATAACCAAGCTCCAAGAGCACCAAGGACCCACAGTCGTCCTTCACTCTACAAGCCATACTCCCTTCTGTCCCTGATGATGTGACCTAGTTGGAAAGAGCCTTGGTGGTGCAGCGGACTAAAGTGCTGTTAAGTAGCACTTAACTGCCAGCTGCCTGCAATTATTATTTTTTAAATTTTTTTTATTGAAAATTATTAAAAAATACAGGAAAAAAAAGTATAACAATATGGATAGAATTGCAGAGAATAATTAATACATATTACATATTCTGGATAAACTTTTCTTTCTTTTGATGAGTTGGTTTAATGGAGGTTTGTACTTTCTCTAGGCGAAAATTGATACTTTAAAACTCTATATGTATTATATTACTCTCTGCAATTCTATCCATATTGTTATACTTTTTTTTCCTGTATTTTTTAATAATTTTCAATAAAAAATTTAAAAAAGAAAAGCTGTCTGCAATTAGTGCGAGTTCAAATCTCACCAGGCTCCAGGTTGACTCAGCCCTCCATCCTTCCGAGGTAGGTAAATTGAGGACCCGGATTGTTGGGGGCAATAAGCTGACTTAGTAAAAACACCGCTTATGGGGGGGGGGGCAAAAGCCCTAATAAGCAGGTATATACAAAAGAACGAAGGCTATTGCTATAAAGAGCCTTGGTAGTACAGGGGTTTAAGGCACCCTGTTATTAAGCTGGTTATTAAGACCAGCTGCCTGCAATTACTGCAGGGTTCAAATCTCGCCAGGCTCAAGGTTGACTCAGCCTTCCATCCTTTCTAAGGTAGGTAAATTGAGGACCCAGTTTGTGGGAGCAATAAGCTGACTTTGTATAAATATACAAAAGGATGAAGGCTATTGCTGAGCACATTGTAAGCCGCCCTGAGTCTCCGGAGAAGGGCGGCATATAAGTCAAATTAAAAAAAAAAAAGTGCATTGTAAGCTGCCCTGAGTTTTCAGAGGCATATAAATTGAACTAATAAATAAGGAAGGAAGGAAGGAAGGAAGGAAGGAAGAAAGGAAGGAAAGAAAGAAAGAAAGAAAGAAAGAAAGAAAGAAAGAAAGGAAGGAAGGAAGGAAGGAAGGAAGGAAGGAAGAAAGAAAGAAAGAAAGAAAGAAAGAAAGAAAGAAAGAAAGAAAGAAAGAAAGAAAGAAAGAAAGAAAGAAAAGAAAGGAAGGAAGGAAGGAAGGAAGGAAAGAGAAAGAAAGAAAGAAAGAAAGAAAGAAAGAAAGAAAGAAAGAAAGAAAGAAAGAAAGAAGAAACGTCTGCGAGAAAACAACCGAGCACCAATAACCCCTCATCTTTTGGTGAATTTATAAAATACGGCGTGGTGATAAGAAACTTAACAGGGCTGTGCTATCGTGGGTACTCCGTTCTTTCTAACAGTACAGCCGTTATCTTCATCATCAGTCAACAGTGAGAGAAAACCAAACTGCGGTAGCGAAAGGGTGAAGGACTCCCGAAATGGGACTCGGCTAAGCAGAAGCAGAATAGGAAGAAAAGACGTCAAGGAATCCAGATAACATAAATCAGTCTTGGGGGAAGGAAAAAAAAAAAAAGAACGAAGCAACTTCATGCAAGGATGAGAGTTATCGGGAGAAAGCTTTGAAGAAATCGTAATGCTTAATTAAAGCTTTTAGGTCATTGCCCTAAATCTGCACGAACGAACGTTGGGTTTGACTCGAAGGAGAATTTATGTATCTTATTTTTACGATCAGATGGAGAAGCAGGAAATTCTGAAAAAGCCCTAAGTAAAAAAAAAGATAATAATACTAGACTAGACATATTCAATTCAGATGTGGGTTTCATATAATTTTACCACCGGTTCGCCGTGCACTGAAAATGTTGAGTGTGTGCTTTGCTTTGCTCGTGCACGCGTCTTACATGCATAAGCGCGGCTTAGAAAATGTGGTTAAATAGGGCGTCATAGCGCCGGGGTGGGCCCAACTGCAGGTTGCCACTATCGATTCGCCTGAACTGGTCTGAACCGGCTGAGTACCACCTCTGATCCAATTCCTCCAATTGTTTTTCATATGTTTGAGAATAGAATAGAATAGAATAGAATAGAATAGAATAGAATAGAATAGATATTGGACTGGACTGGACTGGACTGGACTGGACTGGACCGGAATAAATAGAACAGAACAGAACAAAACAGAACAGAATAGAATAGAATAAATATTGGAATGGGATGGAATAAATAGAACAGAACAGAATAGAACAGAACAGAATAAATATTGGATTGGATTGGATTGGATTGGATTGGATTGGATTGGATTGGATTGGATTGGAATGGAATGGAATGGAATGGAATGGAATGGAATGGAATGGAATGGAATGGAATGGAATGGAATAGAATAAATATTGGAATGGAATGGAATGGAATAAATAGAATAGAATAGAATAAATAATGGAATGGAATAGAATAAATATTGGAATGGAATCGAATTAGATTAGAATAGAATTAGAATAGAATAGAATAGAATAGAATAGAATAGAATAGAATAGAATAGAATA